CTGAAACAGCTCTCACCAGGTGATCAGGAGTCTGTTATCAAGTTCCAACAATTTCAGAAAGCAGCTCAAGGAGAAAAGCTGAGATCCTAACGATTAAGAAAGTGTGTGATGGAGACCAAAGCTTCCTTTGTTAGTATTGGCAGCCCTGGATCGAGTTTGTGCTTCTTTGCAGTTCCCTAGCAATGAGACAGAGGTGGGAAAGTCAGCTGGGGTGCAGGAGGAAGGGCAGGATGTTTCTGAAGAAGCGTTGGAGGTAGGGAAGAAACCGTGGAGCACTTAACAAGCTGTGTGGGATTTGGGGAGATCAATGTCTAAAGACAATTTTTAAGAATGTAAGCCCCTTAATAGAAAGACAGCACAATGTAGTGGTGAAAAGCAGTTTGAAACTTAGCCTATCAGGGTTCAGATCTGAGCTCTACCATTTACTGTCTGTAGAGTCTTTTGCGAATTACTTCATTTCTGTAACTCAGACTCCTTATCTGTAAGAGAGAGATAATAATAGACTCTACATCATAAGACTGTTCTGAATATTAAAATAATCAACATCTGCAAAATGTTTAGAACAGTGTCTGATACAAAATAAATCCTATATAAGTGAGTGGGGGAGCCCTTTTTATCCTACGGTGTGCTGAGACAGATCTAAAGCCTAATTGTTTGGGCCATATTGGATGTAAAGATCACTAGTTGCTCAGCTTTGCGTTTTTTGCTGTTTTCAAAGTATGGGGACCCTTAAAGGTTTGGACAACCATGGTTTCAAAGTAATGGGTAGCCTCAGTTGCTGGAATCTGGCTTGTACATGTGTATTTGTGTATACATGTCCATGTCCATGAATGTGTGTGAGTTAGGTGTGGTATGTAAGTTCCATGTGTATAAAGAAGCAGAAGAGCATGATATATAATATTCTGCATATTTGAGGGATCCATTTTACCATCTTAAAGCTCATTCCTGCCACCCCAGGAATCCCTATAGGGCAAAGTCAGCCCTGTCTCCTCATCTTTTGTTACCAGGGAGCCTCTGTTCCTCAGTGAATATCCTTTTCATTCATTCCCAAATGACTTCTCTGATAGGACTACTGTTAAATATGCACAAGATAGAAGCAGAGGTATGTGTATAGATAGATTTACATAAATAGAAATACAGTATATATACCCATATTTAAGTGATATAATGATAATATTGTGTTGTCACCTCTGAGGGAAAGCTAATTAATTCAGCTATTGAGATGATAATGATTTCTTTCTCAGTTAAATATCAGATCAAAAACTGCAGATTTTTCCTACTCACTGTTCCTTTGACTCATCTTGGAATAAAGAGTTTTATTTCTGCTAGCTATTGAGCTATCAGTATTTGACAATGTTAAATGGGATTATTCCTGTCAGGGGCTGAAGATTGGTAGAAAGACTGACTCAGGCTAAAGTGGTCACTGAGCTCAATAATTGGGTGCCAGGAAAAAATTTTTTGTTTTGCTTATAGTCTCTTTAACATGCATACTTTGGTATTTGCATTCCCAATATCAACTCTGATCTGAAGCACCATCTTTTTTGAGACATTCCACAGTTGAATTTGACATTTAGGAAAATGGTAAGATCTTTCCTACTGCAAGTTATGCCAACTGATAAATTCACAAGCAAGTCTATCACTCTTTAGCCTTGACATCTCTCACTTTTCCTTCAGCCTTTGATTTCATATTTAGTTACCAAGTCCTGACGGTTCCTCTGTTTCCTCCTCCCTGTTCTCACCAACTCCCCTCTCCCCCTCAAGTCCAGACATGGAGCATCTCTTGGCTGGTCACAGTCTCCTGTCTCCAGTCTCTCTGTTCCACCTTTCTTCCCCTTGTACCAAGGATTCTTCTCACTGTGCAGGTTAGGTCATAGCTTCCCCTGCCAAAACTCAAAACCCTTTAATGACATCTCTTTCTACACAGTAAAGACTCAGCTACTTATGTGGTCATTCAAAGGTATTTAACCATGGTCTGTCCCTCTACATTATTTCCTCACCCATCTCCCACTAATTTAGCTGCTCATGCTAACCCCATCAAGATAGATTTTTCAGACGTCCTTGGAATTTCCGTAACTCCCTGCCCTTGCTCATTTCCCAGAATGTCCTTTCTTCTTCACAGGCTATATTTGAAAACCCTACTTAATGTCCAAGATCCAGCTCAAATTCTATTTCCCTCATGAATTCTTCGATGATTTCCCCTACTTGAAGTTAATTAGGGTTATTCCCAGGCCATATAATGCCTTTTCCTTAAGACACTTGACTTTTAACTATTGGAAAATTGTCCTATTATACAGGGGTCTGGCACAAATAATACCCCTTTTTATTACAAAATCATAAGCATGTAATTCGGTAGCATAACAATATCACTCAAACACCGTATAACATTTCAGGTAAAATGTTCAAATTAAAACTCTAAATCATCACACCAATACTATTACCCTTCCAAAAACACTCAAGCAGGTGTTACTTCTGCCAGACCCTGTACTTAGTTAACTAGAATAATTTTTCATTGCCTTATGCTGGAAGGATTGTCACAACAAATATACAAATCTCCATACCTGTGATTGAATTTCTACACACCTCCCCTAAAATTTGACAGCCTCCTAGAGCACACAGTGTGGCCCTGAAATGATCACTTTGTATCTACAGTCCAATAGTTTATTGTTGAATTAGCAATTATTCTACCTATTATTATTGGACCCTATTATCCTATCTTGTATTATGCTGGGAATTTACTTCTTTGTCTTCCCACTCATTTGGAAGCTCTGAGGACAAGAATGCCTTACTCATTTGGTATCTCCGAGGTCAGAGAACGCAGGTTTCAGAGAGTGGATATTTAATAGAAGTTTTCTATTCTCTTGTGACCCAAGGGAGGCAACTGTAGCATACACAGTGCTTAAGAGTGTGGGCTTTGGCGCACGACCACCTGGGTTTGAATTTTCCTGGTCCATTTGTTAACCCTGTGATCATGGGCCAGTTATTTATCCCCTCTGTGGCTTGTTTTCTTCATTTATTATATGGGAACATACAATATTAGGTTCATCATAAAGTGATGTGAAGATTAAATAACCAAATGCAGGTAAAGTAGTTAGAACAACAGCTAATGAGGACTTAATAAATGTTAAGTATTATTCCAATGGGCTGTTAAAATAGGAAAGACTTCTTGTTTTGACTGTGGCAGAGAGACATGAAGACTAGATGTTACATTCCAAAGTGAACCCATCTTGTAGTAGAAAGTAAAAAACTAATGAAATACCTCACCCACTTTGAGGGTGTGGAAATGGAAATTATAGAACAGTGTTGCTCCCAAGATTTTGGTGCTTGTGACTAGGGTGCTATGAACCCCATACCCCAATGGGAAGGGGTGAATGCGGGGTGCGGGTGTCTGCTGCTGGGGCCTGCCACTGGAACGTGTGGTACTTTTGTGAGCATTAGGAAAAGGGGTCCCCCTCCCCACAATGAAAAGGCCCCCCAATGAAAAGGCCATCAACAAGATCACTTGAGAAGATTGGCATGGATCCCCTGAAGCTGAGGGGGGATGGAAACTGGCATTTGAATTTCACCTGAGAAGTTGAAAGGGCAAAAAGAAAGATGGCTGATGGTTTATGGGTAAGAAGGAGGGATTTATATGCCCCACAGAGTTTGTTGGACCAGGGACAGTTGGCATGGGATTATCGTAAGTCCATGGTAAGAGTGCCACATGGAGGGACATTGGAGTTAACAGGGTGGAATTGTCAGATTCATCTGAAGGAGATACAAGCCATGAACTAGAATAGAGATGTACCTGCCCTCATGAAGGACTTGCAGAGGAAAATATCTCCATGATCGGAGGTGCTCTCTAAAGAGCGCAACCCCCAAAAGAATGTCAATTTTGGTGACTTGCTAGCTTTCCAAACCAGCTTCTAACAATACAGGCAAGCACTTAAGTACTTTCCTGTCACTCCCTGCCTTGCCTCCCAACATCCTCTCCTTATTTACCACTCTGCCTTGATTCTGGCAGTGCCGGGAGCTTTGGTTAGCCAGATGGAGGAGAAAGAGGAGAAGCAGAAAGTGGAGAAAAGGAGAAGCAGGAAGAAAGCCAGTCATCTTCTCTCCCTGGCTCTAGACAGATTAACTGCAGCAGGCTGCAGCTGTGGCTACACATTTTCAGGGGAGATGTTTGCTTTTAAATCAAGGTTGGCATCTTTATTATTACACCAAGCTGGGCATATTAAGTATTGAATTGAAACCTTGAATGTGACCTCTCCCTGCGTGCCTGGTAAACAGCAGCTCATTTTCCAAGACTTAGCCCAGTGCTCACTTCCGAGTCTGACCTCTTCCTCCAGAACTGGCCGTCCTCCTCACCTCCTCTGCCCAGCACAGCCCAGGGATGCTGAATTTTACTTGTTTGGTTGTTTGCATGGCTTTGCCTTCAACCTGCCTGTAGGTATCCAACCTTTTGGCATCTCTGGGACCCACTGGAAGAAGAGTTGTCTTGGGCCACACATTAAATAGACAAACACTAACAAAAACTGATGAGCAAAACAAAGTTTTAAGTAAATTTATGAGTTCGTGTTGGGCCTCATTCATAGTCATCCTGGGCCTCATGTAGCTCGTGGGCTGCAGGTTGGACACCCCTGCATGTAGACTCTATGAGTGCAGGGATGACTTCTTTGTCTTTGTACCGCTAACACCTAGAGTACGTACAGTGGCACATAACTGACCCCCAATGAATACATAACAATAAACATAATTTATCTTAAAAAACTAAGATTTCTTTTTTCCTAAGAGAAGTTATGATTGAAACATGTCTTTATTTTTGAGAGCTAAATTAAGAACAGCATCTTCCTGGATGATGCAAGGCAGTTAAAAGTACTTTTGTCAATGCTACACTGGAGGATCGCCTGGACGCAGCGCCCAGGTGTTTATGAGAAAATGCCTGGGTATCTCAATCCTAATGTGTTTTTCTGACTAGAGGGTGTTAGGAGCCTTTTTACTCTTTTCTGTGGTTTCTTCCACAGGTTTCTTCAGGAGAAGCATTACCAAAAACGCTGTGTACAAGTGTAAAAACGGGGGCAACTGTGTGATGGATATGTACATGAGAAGGAAGTGCCAGGAATGCCGACTAAGGAAATGCAAAGAGATGGGAATGTTGGCTGAATGTATGTATAGAGGTATTCACATCAAGCAATTAAATTCCACTAAATATCTCTTAAGAAGGCAGATGTCAGGTAACTCATCTAATTAGAATGGTACTTCCCATATTAAAGAAGGAATTTGCTAAGCCATCTAAGTTCTTGAAAAGGATAATGAACCACTGGAATTGTCCAAACTGTCAGCGAAAGAGCATTCTATTCACCTGAAAGAAACAGCTGTGTTCTGTTGTTCATTGTTAGATTAAATTAGGCACGGAGTGAAGTGGCATTATTTTTATAAACTACAAAGAATGACAGTCTAAAAGTTTGCTCCAAATTAGACTTAATATCTTTTAAATTTATTGCTTAATTAGCATAAAAATTCACAGTTGGGGAAAAATTAAGAATAAGGTATAACTGCCTCCAAATTGTCTAAATAGAGTTTTAAGCCAAGTCATTTTATTAAGAATCCTTTTTTGGGTGCAGCTCTAAACCAATTTGTATAGATTTACACAGGAAATTAACTACCCTGAGTTTTAATATCATTTGGTCCTTCAATCTGATAAAAAAAAGACACTGTATTAACTGCTGGCTTTGTGAGAAACCGTAATCTTCATCAACATTTGGAATGCATGCTAATATATAACATATTAAGTTTTCATTCTGCAAATTCTACAGACCACTCAGATTCAGAGATATGTCCTCTTCCTCCTCAAAACACAAATAGACAAACAAATGTCACCAAGGGGATAATAACAGTCAGGGAGGGAATGTCACATGAAATAAAAGCCTTTGGAAAGCGATTCTAGTTCTATTGTTTCCAAACTGCAGGCAACTGGGATGCACCCAGAGAAATAATGCGTGCGGGAGGGGAAAAATAGGTCAGTGTAAACAATCCAGCTCTAGAAGGATGAAAATTTTATAGTGGTCGATCACAATCTTCTCTTAGCATATATGAAACAAGAGACTGCAATAGGTGCTGCTGCTGGAATCCAATCTGGCAATGGAAACGTTTACTTCGATACTGGGTAGTTCATGTTGCTCATCACTTAAACATGAACTTGTCCCAACTGAAGCAGTGAGGACATTTTTCATGATTCCACCTATAAGAGTCTATAATATTATTTATGAGCATGCACCTGTCCAGGAATAGATGCAAAGCTTCCATGTGACCACGTAAACTAAATTTACTGGACAAAGAAATCCCTGGAATTTAGTTTCATTAACATTGAGCGAATGAGGAAGTTTAATGGGAATATGGAAGATCATTCTATGTTATTTTTTATAGCTCTATTAGATGTAAATTAATGATGATATTACATGATTATTCAAAAGAAAATTTCTAAGTCCCCTCAACTTATTTTCATCTGTAGCTATGTTCTCAATAATTCATACAGTTCTGAAAATTAACAGGATTTGAAGTTTTTTCCTAAAAGATCTTGGCATTTGTTTTATTCAACATGTTTACTTATATATTTAATGTGAAACAATATATTCCTTATGGTTCAGTTATATAAACATGGATAAGAAATAATATTAATATCGTGTTTTGAAACAACAACTTTCCGAGTTCCCTAGGACAGGAACAGGCAGTGTCATTCTTCATTTTATTGACCGAATACCTTACATTTGTACAATGCTCTGGCATTACATCCTTTATATAAAACTCGCTTAAAAAATGACATGGTAACATTGAATCTGCACAAAACACTGCAAGATAGATGTTATTCCCATTTTATGAATGAAGAAACTGAGACTCACAGAAGACAGATTTCTGGTTCAAGGTCAAGTCTGACAACATCAGGAGGGCTAGAGTCAGCTCAGGGCCAAATTGTATAGAAAATCTTGTGAGGTGACTACATGTCAGCTGCCTTGTGACCACACACCCAACAGAGCTTTCTGTGGTTGGTTAAGTCTCTATGTTTGTTTTTTAGGCTTGTTAACTGAAATTCAGTGTAAATCTAAACGCCTGAGAAAAAACGTGAAGCAGCATGCAGATCAGATCATTAATGAAGACAGCAAAGGACGTGACTTGAGACAAGTGACCTCAACAACCAAGTCATGCAGGGTAATAACATGCAACAGTGCCAAAGCCCGCAGCCACTGGGTTTCTAGGCGTGCAGTGATCTGGCTGGGAGACTTTCAAATTAGAGCCACAGCTACAAGCAGAATTTCATTTCCATTGTGCGTTAAATGGACTTCTTTTTAATCAAGAGAGTAATACATCCTTCTGTGTAGATGTCAAACAATAATGGTGTGTAAAGTAAAAAAGTGACAGTTCTCCTTCTCCTTGGCTCCATTCCATTCCTACTATGCAAAGGTTACCAGTAAAAAAATAGTTTGGTGTATAAAATGGATTTTTCAAACTGAGTTTTGATGACCTGCCCATGAGAAGGGCGGTTCAGACTGGGAGGGGTGTGGGCTCAATAGGGGCTTGTGAGTTAGTCTTTATTTGTGGGTAAAAGGGGGGGAATATACATCTATGGACTGAAAAAGCAAAGCCCTTCTCACTGAGGTCACAGATTGCTCCAGAAATCCTTTGAACAACTCGGGACAAATAGAGGAACAGCTCCTTGTATAATTAGGTAAACAATTGATAATGCATGGGACATTTCAAGGAATTTTAATTTGCCAATAGCTAAAAATCCAATAATCCATTTTGGTTCAAGTCACATCCTTCTTAATATTTATTATACTACTGACAAAGGAAACTTCATGCACGTAGTTTTTCAAATATGTTATTTTATAGTTATTTCAGAAAAGTTATTTGATATAAATGTATTATTTTGCCATAGTGCTTTACCAGTAACACTTTGGTATAAGGAAACAAAGAGTTGAGACAATTATCCACCCTCTTCAAAAGATGTTAGTAAGGGACACAGAGATGTCTAGGGCCAGAATTATTCAGATTGGTGACTCTCTACTTCGGGGGGCAGCAGATTTTTTTCCTTAAAGGGTCAAATATTTTAAGTTTTGGCTGCTACATGGTCTCCATCTCAACTGTTCAATGTAGAGTAGCATTGATAATACATGAACAAACGAGTAGGGTTGTCTTCCAGTGGATTTGCAAGGCTGGATGGATTTGGTCTGTGGGCCATAGTTTGTCAGTCCCTGCTCTAAATAAGTACCCTCAAAAGGATTCTTCACTTTATTTTTGGGAACTTTTTTTAGTTGTGACTAAACCTTGAACTTTCACTGAACTTCTCTATCAATGGCCTCAGTAGGCTTCATATCCAGACCATTATTTATTCCTAAGAAATATATGAAAGAAATATCTTGTGTTCCCTATTTTACAGAGAGGAAAATGAGTAACTTAGGACGGATTTAGTGATATATGACATGGATGGTCCAGGGACTCAGAAAAAGTGATGGCACATTGTATCAAAGCATATTCCTGACAGTTTCTGACACTAGTGCACTCCAGATGAGTGCATATATATGAAAAACGTGTTACAACTCCCCTCCCTAACACCTTTTATTTTTCTGCCAGTGTAGGAGAAAACTGAACTCACCCCGGAACAACAGAATCTCCTACATTATATTATGGATTCATACAGCAAACAGAGGATGCCTCAGGAAATCACAAATAAAATCGTATGTACCATACCTGAAAATGCATGGGTTTACAGTTAATACTTTCTGGGGATTTTCCTACATTACAGGTGGAATTGATAAATAAATATGTTACTTTGAAATGATTAGAGCTGAGAATTTGTTACACATGTAAACTTTTAGTAGCCTTAAATAACTCCAAGGATCTGAAAAATATGAGTAGAGTCTGTAAATGTTATCTAAATTTGGTTCTAGAGCCTAATGATTTTATATTGTTTTATCTTTTTATCTACTTATTAATCATTTGCTTTTTTTTCTTAAAATTTAGTTAAAAGAAGAATTCAGTGCAGAAGAAAATTTTCTCATTTTAACGGAAATGGCTACCAGTCATGTGCAGATTCTTGTAGAATTCACAAAAAAACTGCCAGGTATATTTACGTGTGGTTACTTCTCTGGTACACTGTTCAACATTCTTATGAAATTAAGAGAGGCTGGTCTGTTTATTGCAAAAGGAGAATTATCTCACACCTGATTTAATGTGTCTATTATAGACATACAAATGTTGGTACCAGATAGGATATTTAAAATCATTTATAGTAACTCTTCCAAACTCATAAATTAAGAAATTGAGACTTTGCAAGTTGTGATTCATCCACTTATTCATTTAAAAATAAGTATTTATTGATACCTACTCTATACTAAGTATCTAGCTATTACCTTCAAAGAGTGATTAAAGGCTATAATCAAAAAGTATGTACAAAGTGCTGTTTAAATAGAGAGGAAGTAATTGCTAATTGTATCTGAGAAAGAAAGGAAGGCTTCTGAGATAATTATATTTGAGTTGGGTCTAAAAAAAAGGAGATTTTCAGGTGGTATGAGGAAGGGGCATTTGAAGTCAAGAAATCTGCTTGTGAAAAGTACAAGAAACTGGAATGCAAGATTCTTATCTCTCAGCCTCCAATTCTTTCAGACCCAATTTCAATGCAATCTAAGTCAATAGCTTTACATTATTTCAATGTTTTAAAAGCAAAACATATTAGTACATTAAAATTTCATGATCTAGAAGAGTATAATAAATACCTTGTATAGCTGCATAGGACCGTAATATTAAATTCCAGAAGGTAACTTCTGACATCAGATTTTAATTAAACATGTTAATTTGCCTTCTTTTGTCAGCATTATGCTATTATTTTATTAAATGTGTCATGAGTAAATATAAGCCTACATAAAACTCATAAAATGTGAGGAGAAATTTCTCATTATCATTGAAACATTAATATTCTCTCATTTCTTTACTAACAATGAAAGAGGAACTTAATTTGTTATATGCTAACTGAGCTGAAGGAAATCTTGATCAAAAACAAGATTATTCAAGAGTAAAAACTGTGGGAGAAGACATCGAGAAAGGAGAAATATGATTTTTTGTTGTTGTTTGTGGATTTTTCATTTCAAATGGTCATTTGGTCTTGAACCAGGAAATAATTGAAGACAAAAATAATCTTACTCATAAGAAGGTAGCTTATCTGAAAGCTCTGGCCATATCTTACATATCCCTTCAATCCTGTGCCTGGACTGGTTCCTGAGGGGGAAAAAAGAGTTTAATTAATGTGTGTATAATGAGTAAAGCAGAAGGAAAAAATTTAAAATACAAAAGGGAAGCCAAAAATAAAACCCTTGAGAAAGAAATATTATACCAATGATTATAGAAATGCCATTATTACAAATAATAATAATAGTGATGCAATACTAATAAATGAAAGAGTGTTCTGTGAAGGACTGATTTGAGTTGTTCCCTCCTGCAGTTCATTGAGCATTGCCTGTGCCAGGCCCTGTCCAGGGTGCTAGAGCCTTGGCACGCCTCCTGCCCTCAAAGGAGCCCTTAGATTCTCTTAAACAGTGACATTAATCCAGTCATCTACTGATGGGCCCTTAGGCTGTTTCCAAATCTTGGCTATTGTACATAGCACTGCTATGTGTGGGGAATGATGATGGAAGTGCGGGTTGGGCTGGGCGGAGGGGGGTTTTGCGGGGGTGGGGGGTGCGAATTGGGACAACTGTAAATAACATAAACAATAAAAAAAAGTGATATTACTTCTTGATCCTTAGCATTACCTTCTTCTCTAAACTCCCAAACTCCCATTGCTATTTAATACTTTCCTAAGCCACTTAGACCCTGAAGGCATTATTTTGTCTCTATTCATGGGGCATGTGTGTACACACGTGCACACGAGCTTGTGTTTGTTTCCCATCCATTACTTCAGTCACTTTTCCCCACCCTGCATAGTGCGGTGCTGTGCTCAGAGAAAATGCCTCATTAGATCTTATATTGGAAATGCTACCTATTCTCCAAATTGATGAAAGATCCATGCATTGGCCAAATGTTTCTTTAAACCTCTGGATACACATAAAGATTTTTCTGGCTTGCGAATACTTCCATTCTTCAGAGTTGACCTGCAACACCAGATGTAACTAAAATAATGGTTCAAGGAGAATCTGCTTGCCTCTAATTTTTGAAGGTTGCTTCATCTGTATCAGCCTGTCTTTGCTATTATATATATTTGATGTGGGTTTAACATTCTCTTTTGCCCAATTTGTTGATCAACTCCTACTTGGTGAAGATAAAAGACATCTTCTATCTGAGAGAGATCAATAGATAATTATTGTCTCAACTTGACTACCCAATATTAAAACAACTACAAAAATAATTTATGAAAATGTTTTATCATGGGAAACGATGGTGCTGATCAGATACTGTTTTACAGCATTCACAACACCTTGATACTGATTTGATTATATCTTCATTCAGGATTTCAGACATTGGACCATGAAGATCAGATTGCTTTGCTGAAAGGGTCTGCAGTTGAAGCTATGTTCCTCCGTTCAGCAGAGATTTTCAATAAGAAACTTCCAGCTGGACATGCTGACTTGTTGGAAGAGAGAATTCGAAAGAGTGGTAAGTGACTTGGTTAATGGTAAAAATAGTTTGTTTCTGCAAGAAATAATTTGTACAACACATAAAGGCAGGGCTCTTGTCTTCTGCAATGATATATGCCCATTATGACTAACTAGGAGAATGATTCTATGAAGATATGTGTTGAGTAGATGAGACTTTTAGAGTCTTGATTCAAAAATCCTTGTTGCAATAGCAAAATATTAACAATACTCTTTTCACTGAACTGAGATGAAGGACCACAAAAGGGATTTTTAAAAATTTAGAAAATCAGTCTGGTAAAAAATATGGCATAAATGAGCTGCGGTTATTCAGTCTAGAAAAAGATCCATTTATCCCAAGCCTCCAAGTCTGGATGTCTATATATCAAACTATTATCAATCTTTATTCAAAGAAAACTGAGAAGAAACAATAACAGCAACCTTTATATATAATTTACTAGGTCTCAGACACTGTACTTAAATACTTTACATATATAATTCCACCAAATTCCTGAAATATCCTATGAAATATATACTATTATTGTTCTTATTTCCCCATCTTGTAGGTGAGAAAGCCATATGCCTTGAATGCTGTGCTACAGTGCCTCTCAAGAGACAAATGAAATAATATCAATAGTATAAGTAACCCAGTTTAACTTATTATAGGGTAATATTAACACAGAAGGTCAAGCAACATCAGAACATCTCAATAAAACATAACAGAAACAGCCTTGACCAGTGTGCCTCATCCGGCTGGGCGTCATACTGCAAAGAGAAAGATCATCAGTTCGATTCCCTGTCAGGATACATCCCTGAGTTGCGGGTTCAGTCTGGTCTGGGCAAGTCCAAGAGGCAACCAATAGATCTTTCTCTCTCATATCAATATTTCTGTCTTTTTCTCCCTCTCTTCCCCTCTCTCTACAAATAAATGAATAAAATAGAAAAAAAAACAGAAACAGAACCCACAGATACAGAAAAAAAGATGATGGTTACCAAAGGGGAGGGAAGGATGGGAAAATGTGTGAAATAATAATAATAATAATAATAATAATAATAATAATGCATCAGAATGGATTACCATGAATTCTATGCAATTTATCTTAGAAGATATGGATAAGTTGTTATTTTCCTGAGAGAGTTTATATATGGTTTGGGGGTATAAATGAGATAAGATGAACTTTGAAGATTTTTTTCCTAAAGTATTATTATTCTATAATTGACTGGAATAAGTTTAAATACTCATAAAATCAGTATTATAGAATAGAGATTGGGAGAAAGGTTTTCAGGCAGCTCTACATCTGTAATATAAATCAAATAATTGAAAATCAAAAATTATTCTTAAAAGCAGCCTTGCCATAGTCATTATGTTTTCTCAGTTTATAACTAAAAGTATAATTAGCATCATTGGTAGATTTAAAAAACATTTAAAAAAGATACACATTATTTCTATATACCCATTGATTTTTTTAGTTTAATAGCTCCATAAGAGTGAAGTATTACAGTGGTAGTGAAGAGAGGAATCAGGTATATTCCCTTCCCTCGGAAACTTATAGTCTAGTGGGAAGATATGAACTGTAGAGAGATAGTAAAATAAAATGTGGAAAAGAATAACAGAGAGAGATGATTTCTAGTTGGGAGGAGTCAGAAAAATTTTCATGGGCATTTTTGCAGGACCATGAATGATATTTTATGTGATACTCAGAGTGGAGGTGCAAGAGATACGGACTGGCAGGACCAAAGGACTGAGGCAAGAGAGCTCAGGTTATGCATGCGAAGAAGAGTGACTCATCGATTTCGATAGGGTTAAGAGTTATATGAAAAAGAGATAAAAAGCAAACAGAGTCAGAACCAAATGTTGAGGGCCTTGAATTCTTGGCTAAAGATTTTATTCTTTATTTCCTACCTAAAGGGGAGACATTAAATATTTTTGAGTGGGAAGGGAAAGCACCAATTGTGCTCTACAAATCTGCCAGCAATGTTCAGATAAGCCAGGAGGAGAGATGCCTGCGAGGAGGCAATGGGTATCAAGAATGTGACCCCTGCTGCTAGGAGAATTGGAAAGGAAGAGACAGAGCTAAGAAATATGTTATTGCAGCTTTTCACTCTATGTTGTGGGAAATATGGATTCTGGTCCTGGACAGATTTTTATCACTTACCTGTGCAGGGTCTTAATTATAGTTTGTGTGTGTGTGTCTGTCTGTCTGTATCCAGGAGGCTAGGGGTAAGGGACAAGGTTGAATCAGGTGACTTCCAAGGCACAATACAGTTCTACAAGTTTTATTGCTTTTCTTCTTTTAATTCTTCTCAGTTTAATCTTCTTTTAAGTTTTCCTGATTGATGGTTTAACCAGTCATTTGGCTAGCTACTTAAGTGTTCGGATTTATTTTATTTATTTTATTTTATTTTATTTTATTTTATTTTATTTTATTTTATTTTATTTTATTTTATTTTATTTTATGGTGGTAAGAACATTTAACATGAAACCTACCCTCTTAACTAATGTTTAAGTGGTATTGTTGACTATAGGTACAATGTTGAACAGCGGATCTCTGGAGCTTACTCATCTTGCTTAACTGAAATGTTATACCTGTTGATTAGGAAGGGGGAAAAGGAGTTACTAATTAATGGGCAAATATCTTGATTTTACAGCTGCAATTAGTAATCAACAGTTCATCTTAGGAAGGAGTCAAGGATGGAAGCTGCTGAATATTCACATGTATGAATTTGTTAGTTCAGACTGTTCAATGTAAATTGGTGGCTCTCTAGGCAGAAAATTGCTATGCTATGGCTTCAGCCTCTCTATCTTAACCTGGTCAGCTCTTGGGTCCTGGCTTCCATACACTGTGAATGCCCTCTTTAAGAAAATCCATGAGTCCAATATAGTTTTTAAAAAAACTAATAAAATAAAAGTGGACAATGTCTCATGGGACAAAATATTTTAATTTTACAGATTATGACTCTTTAACTGTCCAAGGATCTTATTCTGCTTGATGTGGTCTTTGTTTATACATCAAGAGATAGTGGTGATTAAGAATCTGGCTTGAATCTAGGTCCCATTATTTATCAGCCATATGTCCTATTTTTTGTTGTTAAAAACTATTGAAATAGACCCCGTGACTAGTTTGATCTCTTTGAAATCACATCTAACTTTAATATTTGTTCTACAGTCTCATCTGGATTTTGATATTAAAAACTCTGTAGGCAGGGGTGCCTCTTTTTGACTTAGTATTTTATCCCAAGCACCTAGCACATGCCTGGCTTGGAGTGGGTGCTCAGCGAACATCTGTGAAATGGATGGATGGATGGATGGATGGATGGATGGATGGATGGATGGATGGTTATCTGAAACTATGAGTCTGGACATTTATTTTCTTTTCAGATGGTTCTTCCCTTGTATAGAACTACTCCACTCATCCAAACAGGTCCAGTCTTGCCCCGGGCTCAGCAAACTCTGGGAAGCCCTAGATTGCAGCTAATTCTAGGAACTTGGCTCAGCCATGTTCCTTGTGACAATCCCTGTCTTCCAGTGTGAATCTATTTGGTGAGTCAGAAAGGCTTGAAAGGCGACAATTGAATTGTGGAAGAGGATTAGGAACTTGTCAAGCCACGAAAGTCTGAGAGAGGCATTCCAAGATATATAGCTATTATAATATAATAATATAGAAAGTGCAGAGATGTGAAAGAATGAGTGAGTAACCATGTATAGGACTCACAAGTACTTTATTTAAAAATAAATAAATTTAGGAAATTGTTGTAAGTGCTGAATTATTAAGGACATCGAATGGCCACAAAAATAGTTTAACTTATTCCTTATACAGTGGGGTGCCTTTATAATATTCTGAGTAGATGTGACATGACCACAGAGGTACTGCAGGGAAATATTTCCAGCCGTAATATGAAGGAGAATTTAGAGGGATTAAGACAAGAAGTGGAGAGACCTGTGAAGAGGCCAGCGCAGTAACTAGGTGAGAAATGGTGAGGGTCTTGCAGGTTAAAAATATGTAATCAAAAAGAAAAATATCGCTCAATAACTCAAATTTCAGAACTTGATTCTGCAAGTTTCAGGAAAGTTCAAAATCAAAGTTTTCTAGTGTGTGATCTCTATAAATACACATGCTTCTAGTTCATAAGATACTTTACCCAAACATCAGCCACATATTGCGAAAATAAAAAGCATCAAATTCACATGCTGTTTAGTCTTTTATTATCTATAATTATGGCTCTACTTATTAATATTTATGAGTTTGCTTCTTCTAGTGGATTTTCAGAAAATTACCACTCCCACACACCACATAGAACCTGATCTTGCAAAATGACCTTTCAGAATAACTTTCCATTCTTATGAAAATATACCACATCCTTATTTCCATTGTACCTTTAATTCCATGTCTCAGTTACTCTGTTTATGCCTGCACAGCTCCCTAAAGAGTATAATATGGAATTTCTTTTCTTGTTCTCCAAATTCATACTCCTTTGTTTACTATTATTAAATCTCAATTACATGCACAAAGATACTGTCTCCTGAGATACATTTACTTAATGAGAGTTAGAGTGTTTGTTTATGTTAATTGAGGCTTCAGAACATATATCTGACACAACCTGTGGTTACGTTGTTTCTACATAATTGTAATGCATCAATTTCTTTATTCCTAATGTAGTTTTAAGAAAATTAGATTTTAAGATAGAATTTTTATTAAAAATAGGAATATCCATATAATACCATAAAATATGATTGGACTGAAATAGGCTTGCTAACACTGAAAGAGTTTACATTTCAACATTAAAGAAATTAGCAGTAACGTCTCACAAACCAAAGACACTTGTTCTGTTAATTAAAATATAAATAACCTCTGAAATTCTTAGTATTTTGTGGCCTTTTTTGATCCTTATAACAGACAGAAATGAAACATTCAAATTAATAAGTGTTTATCAGGGTGACAGAGTATCTTGTGATTTTGCAATAGTTTGCTTTTACATAGTCCATCCTGTTAGCATTCCCAGTGGCCACTGAAGGTGGGTGCTATGCTGCTATTTTATAGATGGGAGAATGAGCTTAGAGACGCTAGATGACTTGCCCAAGGTGACCCAGTTAATCAAATCAGCAGACTGCCAGAGATGAGCGCAGCTGTGCTACTTAAAGCCCGGCACTCTTTCTCCGTGTTGCACCTGTCACTCACCGAGATCTAATATTTGCCAACTATCAGCTGGTAGGGAATATAAAGACCAGTAAGACATGGCTCCTGCCCTTTGGTTGAGAGATAAAGTATAAGCACAGTTAGCACTTTATAGCAGTTTTAAAGTAAATGATAAAATGAATGGAAATAGTGAAATCAGAGAAAGGAGAAATTCGTATTGGAGTGATAAAGTCAGAGCTGGCTTATAGTAGCACAGTAAAGTATGCTGTATGTAGTATACTATGTTTATTTTTCTACATTTTAAATATATAGGAATTCACTGCTTTAGACTTGAAAACAAATGAAAAACAATAATACAAACTAAATTTTCTAAAGAAGTAGATGTAAGCTACGGTTCCAATACTGTCTTTGAAAGAAAGGTTAGAAATGTAAACAAATGACAGAATATTTATAAGAAATATAAATGCTTACATCAGAGTTTAAAACTCTTAGCACCTCTCCTTTTACGTTTCAAAGTGGTCATGTATTGATTTTGGCATGGACAAATTTGGGGCTCAAATTGTAGGAATTTTTTCAAAATAAGAGAAAGTGCTAAAGTAATACAAGAGTCTATATTCCCATCAGCCCTCAGCTATATTCCCAAAGCCTTTTATATTTGTCCCATTTTGGGCATTATGTATTTATTTTTGTATCTGCTTCTTCCATTAGTCTGTTACCTGCTTGAGGATAATTCCCAGCACCATCACATTGTGTATATTAGATGTGCAAAAATTGGTGAGTTTTATTGAGATGAATCTGAAACTTGACGGTCCAAACCCTGTCAGCTTCTAAGTACTGGTCAGGTCTAATGTGGCCAGGTAACTTTTAAACCACTAGGACTATTCAAAAGTATATTATTTATGAACTGTTTTATGTTAAATATTTTATGTTGTAAATAGGTTTGTTTTCCGAGTTTTTAATTTGTGGGCAGCTTTTTACTCAGGGCCAACCCTACGGCACAAATGACCCTGGGCACTAGAGCCGCTGATTCAGAGGCCAGGGTCTGGTCTGTTAGCACCACGAGAATGTTTCCGTTGTCTTCATAGCATCCTTTCCCCCATCACATCGCATAGCTGTGTCCCCTTCATCACAAAACAACTAGCAAAATGTAATGTTACCTAATTTAATACACATTTATTAATCTCCTACCATGTCTCCACAGGTTGCTAGTTACTAAGGAGACAGAGATGAATATAAAACATCTATGGAGCACACTTTACTGGCCAGGCAGTGGGCCAGATGCTGGGAATGCAGCAGTTGGCTCCTGGTGTCGTAAAATTTATATGGTATTTCACGCTCTAATAGGATGGAGAGAAATGAATTGACAGGTGCAGTAGAATTGAACATAGAGGAAGGAGCAGCAAATTCTGTTCCACTGTGACCAGGAAAGCTCCAGAGGGAAAACAGAGTTTCAACGTGGCCTTGATGGGGTGTCCTAGCCTAACAAGGATCCTTTGTATAAAATGCACACTTATATATAATACATACAGGCATGCACCTACCTCTGCTCTCCTTTTCTCTCTGATTAAAACTAGAAAGTTAATTAGGAAATAAAAGATGTTTACATTTAAAATAACAACTTACAACAGCGTAGTGTTAATCCTATCAAATAGCTATTCTTTCAAAGAATATTTCTGATCAATGAACAATTAATTTACCCATCACAGACCCCTTTTTAAAAAAATAAGTAAAAATAAGAAAACTTTAAAAAAAAAAACAAAGACAAAGAGGAAACAGAGGACTAGAAACATACATGATTTTTCACAACTTTTTACTTTTTCACAGTAATCTTTGTGATTAAGTTAGAAAATAGCCCCACCTTGTGACCAAAAATCAGCTAATTGGACATAAAGAGCCCAACTGAAACAAACCTTAAACCAGTCTCCAGAAAGGAGGAAGCAGGAAAATGGGAAAAGACTGCCCCTTCAGGCTGATGTTATTGTTACATTTCTCAGGCTAGGAATTGCTTGCTGTTCATAGAAACTTAAAACACTACTTAAGTTTATGCTGTTGTGGTTGATTCTGATTATTGATTTTAATCCAAAAGCAGATTTATATTTGATTCATCTTGTAGGAAAATTATTTTCTAAACCCTTCTGTTATTTGTTTTTTACATTTTCTCTATGTTCACTTTTGTCTTTTACAAAATGTACAAGATGAAAAGTTGTAATAAGAATTCCAACCTATTTTTTCCCAAAATTATCAACTGCAATTAGATAGCCAGTAAAAGTAACATCTTTGAAAGGTGATTTTGCGTTTAGAAAGACAAATAAAATAGAAAATTAAGTCGTCAAAAAAGATTTCTAAAAATTAAATATATCAAAATCAGCTGCCTTTAATATTATTTCCAAATCCCTATCTACTATTTAAAATAATAGTATAGTCATGAGTTATTATTTTAGGTAATGACACCTGATTTTGTAGTCCTCAAATGCTAAAGACTGGCATTGTTTCGAGGTGTAAAAGAACAACCTCACCAAGAAACAACAGATCTTAGCTTAGCTTTACTACCTAGAAAAATACCGACTCAACTCACTGATCAGCTAATTTGTAGTCATTCCTAGTAAACAGCAGAATGTAAAAGCAAAGCAAAACATAGCTTTGCAAACACAAAAGTATATGAGCTTATTCTAGCTAAGATTAAGATGAATTGAGACTAAGATGGAACTAGTGTGTTAATTCAATTCTCCTGAATAACAATAATAACAGCTCTTATTGTAATTATTTGCTCTAATATTTATGGAGAGTTTACTTTTAGCCAGGCACTATATATATATTATGTCATATGCTACTATTGTTATGACTTATATTTCACAGAGGAAACTGAGGCTTAAAGAGTTTAAGTAATGTGCCCAAGATCAAATCATAAATTAGATTTCAAACTCTTAGTTGGCTCACTACCTCTTAAGACCTATGTTTGTTGGAAGCCAGGATTGGTACTCTCAGACTCACACTCCAAAGCTCTGCGTTTTAAGTTGTATCTAGTTTGGTCATGGGTATTTAGTTCCATCTGAAACAGGTGGGTAGAGGACAATCTTCCACTTGATGTAATCCCCAAGGAACAACAAAGACACTGTTGTTAAGAGAGCCCACTGGATTTGCTTAAAGAATCAAAAGTCAAAGGGGGGGGAAGTGTGGTATTTTAACTAAAGAGAGAAAGGCTAAGGATTCAGTATGGAATGCTTCTTTGGGTTCTTCTAAAGGTGAGGATTAAAAAGAGATTAAACTCATAGACATGGACAACAGTGTGGGGATTACCCAGGGCAGAAGGAGTGGGGGGAGGTAGAAGAGGGTATAGGGGGATAAATGGTGATGGAAGAAGACTTGACTTGGGTGGTGAACACACAGTACAATATACAGATGATGTGTTGTGGAATTGTGCACCTGAAACCTGTATAATTTTGTTAACCAGTGTCACTCCAATAAATTCAATAAAAAGAAAAAAAATTAAAATAAATAAAGGCAAGGATTTAGGCTTTCTGATTCTGTGAAGTGTAATATTAGATGATAATTGTACCTTGTAGAACCTAGAATCCAATTTTACCCTGGTTTGACTGACCAATGCTCTATGGCTCTAAGTCTGGTTTGGGATGGAATAGAGCAATCTAGTCTGGCCAGTCATGGGAGTTCATGTTCATCTTAATCCATCCATAGGTCACATTATAGGTTTTCTTTTTCTCTCTCCACATTCCCCAGTCAAAACTCTTTTGGGGTGGATCCATGCACAGAATAGGCACCAAACTAATATTTGTTGAATGAGTGTAGGAAGTGACACAAAGGAGACTTAATTTAAAAAGTGGGGTAAGCCAGATAAAGAAAGAAGGAGGATATTAGGGAACAGGTACAGAAACAGGGCAATGTGCGTTGCTTAGGGAACTGCAGTGGCTGACCACAGCTGGTCTGAGGGCTGTGTGATCTGACGGACAGGTCGAACAGCTTAGTCACAGCTAACAGCCAGGACTCTGGAGCCTGCTAGCTTTGGTTTGAATCCTTGTTCCACTTCTCACCAGCTGTGTGTCTTTGGACAAACTCTATAACCTCTCTGTACCTATCTCACAGGGCGTTAGAAAGATTAAATGAGCTATACTGTAAGAAGTGTTTGAAACATTACCCCATGTATAACGAGTACTCAATAAATGTGAACTCCTATGATTATCATGTGGGTGAATAGTGGGTGGTGCGATAGGCAGGGGCAGGTCCTGGAGTTTCTTATGTAAAAAGGAAGAACGTTTATGCCAAGGCCATGGAGAGTCTTTGGAGGTTTGTAGGAAGTGGGGGGTTGGGGTGGGATTTGAATTACATAGAAAGGAAGTTCTAGGATGGGTGGAAGGGGACTAAGCTGAAGACAGGAAGACCAATGAGAAGCAATGCAGTATTCTGGATGAAGAGAATCAAGACTTAAGTTAATTCCAGGGGTAGCAGAGAGGAAAGGAGCCCCTGAGTGAGAGTTAGCAGGTGTAATCGCAGGAGTCAGCACATGACCAAGTGAGAGAGAGGCTGAATCTCAGTTTTCAGGAGGGGGCAGTTGAGTGGGTGAGAATACCAATCATGTGAAGACTGGGAATGAGGTGGATTTGGAGGAGGATGAAGAGTTTAGTTCTGCACATGGTGTCTTTAATATTGGACATGTTGAGTTTGAAGAAAACAGCCAAGTACCAGTGCCTAGTGGGCGATAGATAGATAAACAGGTTTGGTACTTCAGAGACAGATCATTATTAAGTGGAGCTGTTACATATCTGGGCTGAAAAACAATAATTTGGGGGGAGGTGTTGTTTAAGATGCTATCTGTGCCCTAATTAGAGGTATTAATATTTAAAAGATTAACAAATCCCATGTAAAAAATGGTGGAGTTGAAAGATTCTTTTTGTAATTCAGGAGCATTATCATTTATTGTCAGACAGTAGTGAATAAAATAAAGGCACTGTCAAAATGAAAGACATACAAATCATTCATTTAGTTATATTTTGAGGATTTTGTTATCTGACCTTCTTTGCCCTGCCTTTGGCTGGAACATAATATACAGCCATTAATTAAATGTGTGCATACAGGTGCAAATATTAATGTGTACATATGTAATGTGTTTGTAATTTTACACTTTGTAGTTATTCAGCAACTTTACTATACCTCTGCAATTTTTACACTTCCCCCACAGGTATCTCTGATGAATATATAACACCAATGTTTAGTTTTTATAAAAGTGTGGGAGAATTAAAAATGACTCAAGAAGAGTATGCCCTGCTGACAGCAATTGTTATCCTCTCTCCAGGTAATTTCAATGTGAGATTTTAATTTTTACGCTATTTGTTCATTTTTTCAGTATAATTATAATAAAGAAAATCTGGAAAACACAGAATCATAAAAAAAGTAAAATGGCCTGCCTATAACCTCACTGCTTCAAATTGAACCATGTTAACATTTCAGTGTATTTCTTCTCAACTTTTTTCCTAAACTCATGTTCATTCAATAAATACATTTTTAACACCTACTATGCATTAAACATGGTTCTAGATATTGGGGGATATAGCAGTAAAGAAACAAGCAGAATACAACAACATGGAGCATTCTATATTTTAGTAGAGTAAAAAAGACAATAAATGAAGAAACAAATAAAAATAATTTGTGGTAATTATTGAGGTGGTAAATGTTAAAGATGAGAATATTAAGAGAAGAAAGTGGCAGTAGAATGTTATTTTAATTAGTGGTCAGGGAAGGCTTTTCTATGGGGTTGTATGAACAGGGACCTAAATGAAATTATGTATGCTTTTTTTTTACAGCTTAGTATTTATTTATTTAATTATAATTTTAATTAAATGTATTGTGATAAACATATTTTAACATAATATTAAAACATACTATCTTTTTTTAAATGTGTAATTTTGTTTAAAAGTCTTTCCCTATGTCGTTAAAAAGACTGTACTGGTAAAAGTTTATTGTAATGCATGCATCATATTCTGTTGTATTGATGACCAATCATTTACTTTTTACCACATCTTTCAATACTCAGAATATTTCCAGTTTTCTATTGTTTTAAACAATGTTGAAATGAATACCTATGTAGATATATTTTTTCCTATGTTTTTTGCTTAATTATTTGGGTGTAAGTGATGCCACATTCATAATTTGTGGCCTTAAACCACTTTATATGGGATATTAAGTCAGAAGTTAGTTGTTACTTTGTTTTATCATAAAAATTATAATTAAAAAGAAGAAAAACATTTGGCAGTACCTACTATAGTTACACAGGTATATACCCCATGACCCAGCAAGTACTTGGGATATACCTACCAGAAATGATGCTATGTTCCCCGTGCAGGTTACTTTGCGGGCATTGATCAGAAGGGGAATTTAGAGAGGTCTCTATCTGAGGGGAGTAAATTTTCTATATCTTGATCTAGTTGTGATTAAATGAGTATCTGCAATTAAATGATCTAGTTTTGTCTAAATGCATGTATAAAAATTCATTAAGTTGAACATTTGTACATTTCAACTGTACAACACATATAAATTCTACTTCAAAAGAGGTTAACATTATTATATAATTATGCTAAACCTTCCACTTTTTAATTTGATGATTTAAACTTCAAAATAGACAGGCAATATATAAAGGATAGAGAAGCTGTGGAGAAGCTGCAGGAACCCCTACTTGACGTGCTGCAGAAGTTGTGCAAGATCCATCAGCCGGAAAACCCTCAGCATTTTGCCTGCCTCCTGGGCCGCCTGACTGAGTTGCGGACATTCAATCATCACCACGCAGAGATGCTGATGTCATGGCGAGTCAATGACCACAAGTTCACCCCACTTCTCTGTGAGATCTGGGATGTGCAGTGACGAGTGTCCCCGGGGCAGGGCCTGCCTCTCCAGTTTCCTCGTGTTATAAATCTGATGTATAACTTTCCTTTATTTCATTTGTACCTGGTTTCACACAAGAATTTTGATGAATATTTATGCAGTAATTATATAACTTCCACAACTGTAAATAGGGGGCTAGGCAGAATTACTTTCTCTACTTTGTATTTTACGTGGCTTCAGGGAATCTTTTGTTCTAATTGGCATGCCCTGTTTGCCTAATAAAAGTGATCATTATTTCAATTCTATATGTTGAAATAGGGAAAAATCTCATTTTGCTCTTCATCTTCCCTTATTGCATATATTTTATTAAACAGTTGTGTGCACTTTTGACAATAAACTGAACATAATGGCAACACGCTTTCATTTGGGAACAGAATTTGAAAAAATATACAAACAATGGTATGCTATTGAGCCTGAGGGGATGATTCATAAAATGATAAACTCTCACAGCACAAACGGTACATTTTTCATCCCTGGGGAAGCCCTGGTGAAGAGTCACTCATTTGTGGTAGTCCTCTGATCATTTCATTATCTTCGATGTTCACAAAGAATAGCATACAGAAAAGTTAATGATTGTCAGATAAAATATCCACAGTGCATATTAGTTACGCTTTTAGGGGGAATACTTCCCATAGTCAATGTCTTGAAGCAGCATTTTCAAATTCTGGATATGCAAATAACTCCAATGATGGGACATTTCCTTTCTCTCTCTGAAAAGTTCTCACTGTTGACTTCGGTGCATATAATTAGTCATTTTTTTGTTTTGTTTTGCTTTCCTTTTGGAAAACACTCCATTAGCCAGGTGCACAGCTGTTGTATACTTGCCCCAAAGCAGGAATTACTTCATTTCCTTCCTTCATTGTTATACTGTTGCATTCTCCTCCCTATTATCTTTTCCTGAATACAATAAAACACCTTCTATGAGCGATGGACTTCCATCTCCCTTTCTCCTGAAGTCAGCCAAAATGGAGCTTGCTTAGCAAATGAAAAATTTTTTTTGTTTTTGTTTTTGTTTTTTGTTTTACACACTGGGGCTACTGAAGTCCTAAAATTAGCTAGTCAGTGGAAAAGAGAGAGTTGGGGCTGCATCAGTTGGATTAGATCTGCTTCAGCAACAAAGACTTGAATCCCCATTAAGTACAAGATTCTTTTGCTAAACTCCACAAGAGAATACAAAGGTGGTTGAGGCACAGTAATTTAATCAGCTCATATAGGGTGGGGGGGGATGCATTTTATAGGTTCCCCTGTCTGCTACTGTAGGTTCAGTCAATGGAAGGCATCGGTGGAAAATTGAAGTACAGAAAGGGAAAATCTGGGGTATTTCCCCCTTGGCCTCCACCTCACATGGCTTCTCTAGTAATGATTGAAGCCCTTCTTGGGCAAACTCTACCCTATTGCTGATGACCTTGCTTTCTGGATTCCTCTTGAATGTTGAAGACCTAGAAGCGCAGTGGCTTCCTAGGGTTGCCCATCTCTGCGTTGTCTCCTCTGCTCCTGTTTATTGTCTCAGTTCTTTCCTCTCTTCTGAAACCAAGTTCCTGTGTTAAATTTCCTCTTTTTGAAGTACCTACAGGGGTTCATATTTTCTGACTTGAGCCTGTCTATATACAGTTACTTTTTTTTGGTTATATTGAACCTAAGAGAATGTAGAACTTGAACGGCTGGAAGCCATCTTGTAACCAGAGGAAATCTAAGTATAAAGCCAACATAAACAGCAGAGCCATCTGAGGCTGGATTCTGGTTACATTATTTGAAATCTCAGGTTGAGCTTTGGCTAAAACTAGAGAATTTTATCTAGGATTTCAATTACATGAACCAATTATTTCCTTTTTTCATATGTGAATTTGAGAACTTTTTCCTATCATTATAACTAAAAAAACCTTATCTCTTAGAGAGGCACTTTCCATGGATTTAGGGCCCACTCTAATACAATGTGATCTCATCTTGACACTTGGCCTTAATTATATCTGCAAAGATCTTATTTCCCAAGAAGGTCACATTCTGAGGTTCCAGGTAGACGTAAATTTTAGAGGGGATTCTATTCAACCCACCACATAATTAATATTTTAAAATTAATAGCAATGGTAATAAAATTTTATATCATTGAACTACTTATACATTATATTTGTTAATGTAAATTGGTAACAGTCTATTATGATAGAACTTAGTATTGTTTTTAATGAAGTTGGCTCTCAATAGATTATCTGTGGAATGAGTAGTTTAATTAACTGTGAATGAATCAAGACTTCTGTTGACCCAAAATTTCATCTAGTATATTACCCGAAGCAATACTGAGATTGAAACTCAATAGTATAAAAGCATTAAAATCAATAGCAGCAGCCACAAAATGCAGAACAAAACAACTACTAAACCAAAAGCAAAAATAAAAAACCTCCAGTTGTGGTATATTTTAAGCAATAGAGAATTCTGTAGAACTGTGAAAGAGCCAAATTATATTTCAATATACAAGGGGTATATGAGAGAGCCTCTTCTCTATTCTGTAAAGATGTTTAGTCAGATGAATGATTTTTCCTAATGTAATAACTTACTATTTAGATTTCCAAGCTCAATACTTCTTAAAATGGGGCACACTGTCACAATTCTGGGAAAGATAGAATTAATAGACTCTGTCACCTGAGGAACGCAAATGGATGGGACTTGCTCTGCATGTTGCAATCATGTCAGTTTCAAGTAAAGCGAGACTCTCTAAAATATGGCTATTAACCCAACCACCAATTAGAAACTCTACACATGAAAGTAGATTGCAGCTTTTTAGGTGGAACCCTCAATTACTAATTGTGGTGTTAAAACCAAGGTAGGTAAGATGATGCGTGCACTTCTCAAGTAGGGCACTAACTAAGAATGTAAAAGTGAGGTTGGGAAAACAACAAGGAGAACTGTTTTCTTCTTTATAAGAGAGGGGAAAACAATGAAGATCAAAGAATCTAGAAGAGAACTCCTCACCCAATCCCCACATTTAACCAGGGAAGAATATGGCCTTCAAGACGAGAAGCTATTCCCACAGGTTGGCTGTGGATTCACTTTTCAACATACTGTCTTGTATCTGTATAAGGAAATTAGCAAGACAAGGCAAATAGACAATAAGAATAAAATGTAAGCAACTACAGAATACCCTGCTGCCAAAGTTTCAATAAATAGTTAGAAATATTAAGTCGGGGTGTGTGTGTGTGTGTGTGTGTGTGTGAATGTTTGTGTATATACCTCAAATACCAATTTTTAATAAGAGGTACTCAAATGTTTAGGCACATTGTATGCATATAAGAAAAATACAAGAATAGTCAACTAATGACTCATCAAACAAGATCTATATAACACTATTTTCAAGGTTCTATAGTGTAGTGTACATATTTTGATATTGGGGCTCAGCAAATCCAATTGAAAGCTACAATGTGACTGGACATTTTGGTAAATGAAGTTGCCTCTAGTTTTAAGAAGAAACCCTATAAAACATAGGTTGATTTGAACAACAGGTCCTGTGAAAATTGATCTGTTGCAGTCACAAGCAGTAAAGTGTTCTGGGATGGGCTGCTGGGCATCAGGTTCAATTTCCACTTATATGTCCACCTTGTGATGACCTTCACTGCCCCGCCGCGCTCCCCCTCCCCAGCCAAAAGATAAGCTTTGTGGGAGCAGGACCCCTGTGCTTAGGGTAGAGTCTCATGAAGAGCAAGTGCTCAATAGTACTTGAATTGATTTCTCAAATCCGTATCTCTTGCACAAACCAATTTAGTCACCTTCAGACCTAACTATTTAAATGTCTTCTGAATACCTCTACCTACACACTCCTCTCATACTTCAAACTGAACACATCCCAAAACAAAATACATTATTCTTCCCCCAAAGTTGTTTTTCCTGCATTCCTTAGATCAGTGTCCGTGTCACATGATAACCAAATCCAGATACATCGACCTCTTGGGTATCTCCTGACACTTCTCCATCACCATCCCTTCTGAGCTAATTTAGATCGTTGTCATTTTTTATTTTTAGAATTGTTGCCAGTCTTACTCCTGTCTTCAAAAATCCTTGAAAATGATTTTTTTTCTAAAACATGAACCTATTTATACCATTTCTTCCTAATAATCAATTCCAGTTGCCTGTAAGAAAGACTCTATGCTCTTGAGCACCTACCAGGACTTTCATCTGTGCCTACTTCTTCAGCTCCATCTATGTCCTCATCTCCAAACTTCAGTTTTTCATAACTGCTATTCCCAGGATACCCCGGGTGCTCTCCTATCCCTGGAGCCTTGTTGTTCTCTATGCATGGAAAGCACTCCCTCCTCCCAGTTATCCTTCCTTTTGGCAGATTCCTATTCATCCTTCAAAATTCAACTTCTTCCAAACCTCTGACCATTCCCATCCGAGACTGTTAGGGGTTCTATCTTTTACAGACCTCCACAGACTTGGATTGATTGAGCCTTTACCATGCTGCAGGGCATTTTGAAGGCAGGACTGTCTTCTTCATTTCAGTCTCTTCAACAAGCAATAATACTCCCTCTTTGTTTTTGATGAGTGAATGAAGGAATAAATGAGAGAGAGAGAGAGAGAGAAAATGAATGAGAATGAGAATATGAATCATTCTGGGTCAATCCCCACACTTTCTAGACAGGGAAATGGAGTCCCACAGAGGGGATTTGACTTGACAAAACTGAACTAACAAGAGGAGAAGGGGCTGGAACTGCAGGTTTTTATTACAGACCCATCTCTTGTTCTATTTAAATCCAGTCTCTGCTTTATGTCAACCTGTGGAGAGCAGGACCAATAAAATGGCACTGGTCCAATTAAGATAGCATAAAGTATATAAAAACAAAGTGGAGTCACTTATGTCAACTAAAATGGCTGTCAGTCAGCCATGACACTGGTTCAAGGGGAAAATTACCTATGTCACAGTAAACACATCCGGCAAGGAGACACATCTGCCCACGTGGTCAGAGCAGAAATATCTGGCAAAGAGACACATCTAAGATACCTGCATATGTAGTCAGAGTACCAGTGTCTGCAGAACGGGACTGCCCATAGATAGGCTCCTGGGCAAATTCCACACTTGGCATCAGGGGTGCCAAGATATTTATCAAAAAGACCCAGCAGGGTGGACTACACCACTTTCAGGTTATAACTGAGGCAGGGTCCGAGCCACTGCTGAGACAGCCGAGCTCTGCACCCCAGAAATCTACTCCATCCCAGACTGATCTCCCCTGGCATCGGCCGCCGGAAGCTCTGCCCTGCTGGACTGGGGCCTTCGTCTGCCCTACTGCCCACCTGGCTCCGGAGATCCTTCCTTGCAAGACGCTGACAACTCCTTTGCCCACTGTGCTGTCTCTCTGATTTGCTGACTGAGACTGTGGGACTCGGGTTCATTATCCTCCAATTGATTGCTGTGTGTGTATATTTCTCTTAGGTTGTTAGAGTGTGAGTAGGATATTAATGTATGTTGATGTTCTGCTTTGAGTGAACCTACATTCAATAAAAGCTGAGTGAAGAGCTGAGTTTCTTACTGTGTATGTCTCTTCTGTTCCTTGGTGCGGGGCTGCTGAAGCAGGCAGCTAGCCCAGTACTTGCCCTGCTGAATTATAGGAAAGACTGCATCACCGACACACTGGAGACACAACTCTCAGAGCTAATAATCTCACTGTGCTGAGGTTAATTTTTCTCCCCCAGCTCTTGTGTTTTCTTAAGGAAGTACCAACATCCCCCTTTTGACTTTGGGTGTGGCCTTAAGTTACAGGATTCCTTCCCTTCATTGGTCATCCTGACCCCCTTATGAGAAGAGGGGCCTCTCGCTGAAAGGTGTCAACTTTGGACTCCCATTTCCGGCTTGGTGACAGTTTGTTTCTGGAAACCAAGGCGCCTTCAGTACAGCCAGATCGAGAGTGGATTTAAAGTTGGGAGGCACTCTTAACAGTTCGGGATGAAAACTCAGGGCAACGCCCTTAAACTCTACTGGGCGACATTCCACGATAAAAGGCTGACTCAACTCTCCTGCCTATCGGGACTAGTAGGAAGGGCTATTGCTGTCGCTGAGAAGCCAGATGGCAGGACTTGTTCGTTGACCCAGACAGGCGTGGACCCTGAACTTGTGAACGGAGGCGGGGCGCCCTAGGCTGAGCGGGACTCGCGCGCAGGTCTCGTGCTCCCCGGGGCGGTCCAGGGGTGGGACCTCCAGCCACGCCCCCAATCCGCCCTCTGATTGGTCCCTTCGAAACAGGCGGAGGCGATCCGCGGCAAACCCTAAGGCTGCAGAGGCGGCGGTTGGTCAGGGGCGTTGCAGCACCGCACGGAATGAGCCGAGATGTCGTCCCACAGGGTGAAGTGACCCTTCGGCGGCAGCGCTGGTGAGTATTTCCCTGTTTGCTTTATTTTGTCCCCGCGAACTTACATTCGCCTTCTCCGGGCTGCCGCGCCTCAGCCTGCGGGCTCGAGGAATCCCCCGCTCTCGGAGGAGTCGAAGAGGCTGGAGATTGGGACCCTAAGCTACGGGATCCAAGACGCTCTGCGATTGGCCCGCTGCGGAAGTCGCGTTCTCTGATTGGTTCCTGGCGCTGTCTAGGCGAAGTTAGGCCTGCCTTCAGCTGCCCACTCCGGTGCGCCGCGAGGGGCAACAGGTGTGCATGGGCGGCGTGCGGCAGGTGCCGGCGTGCTAGTTTAGGGAAGAGGTATCGAGCCTCTACCACTCGAGCTTTAGCATCCAAACAGGGATCAGAGCCTGAAGCTAGTTTAGGGCCCCCCTGGGCACCCTCATTTCCAAGCGCTTTGAACATGTTGGGTCACTTGATTTCTCCACATCATCCTCGGGAAGAATTGCTGAAGTCACAGACCTTGAATAGAGAGCGGCACAGTCATCTCCCCTACCCTCTCTTCCCTATTTGACCGTCCCAGTCCACGCAAGGCTCAGATCGCTCAGATTGACGGAACAAGGAGATCCGCGTGATGCTTTCCTACTCACACCCCTCGGGTAGCAGGGCTCCGTGGGCGGGGGCTGGGGGTGGGGTGGGAGGGGTGCTTGTAGATTACTTTGTAAACGGGAGGAAAGTTTTGGAGGGCATACTTGCCCATGCAGTCACCCTGGTTCCTAACTAATCTTTTCAAACCAAGGGTTCGAATCATGGATTCAGAGTGCTCGTAGTATATGCATGGTGGAGAAGCCGATTGAATCGTTAATGAGTGAAGAGGTGGCTTTTGCAGGCCCAGTCTAGATCAGAGTTTGGGTTTTGCTTCTTTTGTGTGGAGAGTGCTAATAAATACTGTCCCCAGTTAAGTGGCTTGTGAACTGCTCTCTGATGACGCCTCTTGACAAACGATTAGGAATTGGATTTCTTGCCAGCTCAGATTCCCTCTGGAGGGAGATTGAAATGGATTTGAATGAAAAAGGGGAAACTCTGGTGTAGGAACTAATTCATGTTGTCTGTGATCTGTTTCAAAAACTCATTAAAAACCAGTGTGCAATGAATAGTAGATGTCTACTATTTTGAGATTACCGAATTAAAAGTAATATATTTTTAGCGTGGCAGAGTTGTATGTGGGCTCAGAAATCAGACTTTACTATGTGTGCGAATTTAGGCAAGTTATTTAATTTTTGTAAGCCTAAATTTCCTCCTCTATAAAAGGTGAATAATGGTTCCCATCTTATTGATGCAAGGGCTGTTGTGAGGATGAAATGAAATAACCCATATAACTAGTTGATAGAATGCCTGACGCAGAGCTCTTAGGCCTGTGCTGTTTAATTTGGCAGAGGCAGTGATAGTTATCATTCGCTGATGAACACATGCAAGGCACTTAAAATAGTGTCTGGCTGGTACTAAACACTCTTTATTATCAAATACATTATTACCTAGAATGTGCCAGGTACTGCAGTCTATGTGCTTTACTTACGTTATTGTTAAACCTCATAGACGTGCTGCACTGTAGTTGGTGTTATCGCCATGTTATAGATGAGGAAACTGAGGTTCATAGAAAGGACATAACCTATTAAGGTCCATCAGAATTCAGTCCAGACTGTCTCATTCCCACACCCAGCTGCTTCTTTGCACTGTACTGCCCTTGCATTTATTTTCCCAGCATTAAGCACCTTCTCTGCACAGAGTCGTTTGTAGGGCCCCGGTTCATTTCTGCTGTGAGTATGGGTTTATTTTGATACTTCATTAATTAAGAAAAAAAAAGAAATAACTTGTGATGGTGGATCAAAGTGTGTGAAAAGAGAGTAATAGCAACAATATACATGCTATTACTAAAAAAACTAAACGAGTCCCATGATGTTTAGAGAATTGGTCAGTTCAGAAATGTTTCCTAAATTATATTTTTGCAAAGACATTAGTTTTTGCTTAGTCCTTATATTTTTACTAAACAGCATTCTTCTAGTATCTTTTTTCCTGTAAATCTTTATGGTTCTTCTTTATCCTATGACAGTTGTCCCAATTTCCCCCCTTTGCCCTCCTCTGCCCCGCCCCACCCCCTGCTCCCGCAGCCCATCCCCACGCCATTGTCCGTGTCCGTGGGTCATTCATGCATGTTCTTTGACTACTCCCTTCCCCTTCCTTCCACCATTTCCCCCCACCCCCCCCTCCGTTCCTCTCGCAGCTGTTAGACTGTTCTCTTTTTCCATGTCTCTAGTTCTGTTTTGCTTATTAGTTTATTTTGTTCATTAAATTCCTCTTATACGTGAAATCATATGGTATTTGTCTTTAACCAACTGGCTTATTTCACTTAGCATAATAGTCTCCAGTTCCATCCATGCTGTCACTTTTTCCTGTAAATTTAGTGTAAGTTTGGAGATAAGAGAATGAAATTTAGTTAATTCTGTAATTTTTTTCAAGTCCACTGTTGATGAGGAAAGTAAGGGATTAAGGTTATTATGTATCATAATATTTTACTTTCTTAAAGTAAAACATTTGTATGTATAACTGTGTGTGTTTCAATTCCTGTGTGTGTTGCTCTCTGTGCTTTGATATCCGATATACCTTTACATACCAAATGAACCATGTGAGATATGATAGGATATGAGAAAATAGGAAACTTGAATGTCAGTTTTCTCACTTAAAGCTTCCCTATTTTTAATTGAAATTTAACTGCCATAGAAAATGCCTCAGAAGTAATGTTTACAAGATACAGGCAATAATTATAATTCTATTTCTTTAGCATTTCTCTTTCTAAAAACTCAGAAAGTTTTTTAAAAATATTATTACATTATTACAGAGTGGTTGTTTTAACAAAAAGTTACCATGTATTTTCTAAATGAATTACTAATTTCCAAAAGAACTAGAATGTAATAAAATGTAGCAGATATACTCAGTGTAATTTCACTTTTGATGCTGAAAGTATCTTAGGAATTTACAGTATTATGACCTTTACATGCTAGATAGTGCTGAAGGGCTGACTGATGAAACTTCTGCCTACTGTCACACAGCATACACTTTTCTGTAAGAAAGTGTAATATTAGCTATGGTGAACGGCTCACTTTATATAGTTTTAAACATAATGACTTTTGTTTTCCCTTGATGGATGACTTGTTGATATTTTTGACTCCTAAAATAAAATTGGCTGTTGAAAAAATAGTTTAGTTATATTGAGAAGTTTTCTTTTTTTCACACATGCACAATTTAGAAAACATTGTGATCTAAGTAATATAATTATATGTACTTTTGGTTGCATAAGAGATAATAGACATTTTTTCAGATTAGTAGATATAGCTCTATCATATGTTCTTTGAAGTGGCTAACTAAATCCCCTATATAAATGTCCCATAAGTTATTTGAGCAGTTTCCTGCTAATGGGCACTTAATGTTGTTTTTACAATTTTTTTTTTTTTGAGAGTACATTTATTAAAGCTGGGGACAGTGAAACAAGGAAGGGCTTAGAATAGAAAAAACCACAGGAGAGAGACTAGGCAGGGCTGCTTTGACTCTATTTCTTTTTATTGATTTTTTTTTTTTTTTAGAGGGGGGAGAGGCACATTGATTTTTGTTGTTCCACTTACTTATGCATTCATTGATTGCTTCTTGTATGTGCCCTGACCGAGATCGAACCTGCAACCATGGTTTATCTGACAAGCTCTAACCAACTGACCTACCCAACCAGGGCTATATTTCTTTATATTAGTGTCTGTGTGTGTATATTTTCCATAGAGTCATTTAGTCTGTCATATATGAAGACAAACTGATATTAAGTTCTTTTAAATTTTTGTATCCCTCAAACTTTTATGACATTAATAGTTCTGTCTAATATAAAATTAAGTTATTCAGGTTGAATCTCTGCCAAACGTTGAAAAAGGAAAATTTCAAATAAAAAAGCGAAGTCTCCCAACAATTGAACTTGAACAGTTTTTGTATTTTGCAAGTAATATGTGTGTTTTATTAAACTGTAAGAATATTAGTTCTTTCAGAAATTTTCATTTGGCTTTGGAAGCTGCCTGTCTCTTAAATGAATACACCACAGATTTACTTCATTATTGTTTCATATTACTTTTAGTAATAAATACAACATTTCCTATACTTAGGAGTAATTCCAGCACTAATTTCAGCACTGATTTCTATATAGAAGTAGACGATATGGAATACACCACAGATTTACTTCATTATTGTTTCATATTACTTTTAGTAATAAATACAACATTTCCTATACTTAGGAGTAATTCCAGCACTAATTTCAGCACTGATTTTTATATAGAAGTAGACGATATGGAGACTGTTATTCTCTCAAGGACCTTATTTTAAAAAGTATAGAGTACAGTAAAATTGAAGCATATCTTTCTATATAACCTAAATTGAGGAGGGGGTTCAGGGATGCTTTTTACAGAAATTGAATCTGAAGAATAGGTGGGAGTGAGTCCGGAAGAGGGGAGTGTTCCATGTGGATGGATCATCTTGTGCGAAGGGTTAGAAAGGGGAGAGCACGGTGCTGGGAGGGCCTAAAAGCAGCTCAACAGAGACAAGGCTGATAGGGATTCCCGTGAAGCTTTATTCAGCCGTGGTAGGAAGTCTAGGCTTTATCCTAAAGGCAGTGAAGACCCCGTAGGGGTTTTAAGCATGTCCTCAGGTGGAGTCTGTGAAGATCTGGGGCAGAGAGGCTGGAGCCCTGCAAGGCTGAAAGGGTGGCTGGTGGTGGGGGGGGTCTGTTTGGGTAAACCTGGAGGAAGAGGGGGGTGGCTTCGACTAGAGGGGTGGCTCCAGGTGTTGCGGGGAAAGTTTAGATGTAGAAGCAGCAAGACGTCATGGGTCGTTTTGGCTGAGGTAAGGCAGGGGCCTGGGAATGAGGAGGAGGAGGTGGGGGTGAGGAAAGAATCAGGGATGACCTGGTGACTGGGGGAATCTTGGTGTCATTTCCTGAGATACTAAAGACA